TCATCCGCTCTCCTAATTATTTTTCTCTCTCAGGCCATCTTGCTTATCTATGGCAATCTTATAACAAAGAGAACTCCTTGGGAACAGATACCACCTCTGACGTAGTAGAGTAGATATCTGGAAACCTAGTAGAGCAGCTGGTAAACATTAAACCTCCAGCAAATATTTGTTCAAAGAGTGAGTAACAAAAGCTACCATTTATACAGAACTTGCTACTGTGCCAGACATCACACTATCTCACTGAATCCTTTCAACAACCCTAACAGTCAAGAGTATTGTCACCATTTTACAAAGGAGGAATGGACTCAGAAAGCTTCTGCAAGCGCCCCAAGGTTATATCAGCACAGAAATGGTAAAGCTGGCACTTGAACTGAGGTCTGGTCAGTTTCAAGGTCCCCATTCTTTCCCATGGTGCTGCTCAGGGAACCAGGCACAGACTGGAAAGCTGTGACATGCACTCTGTAGGAATTTATTTTTAACCGTTTCCATGTAGCATGGGCATAGTTCTCACCTCTAGAGTGGTTAGTTAGCATCAGAAGCACTCTAATCAGGAACCCACACTCTAGAGAGTGGTTACATAAACATTTCAGCCACCATCCCAATCTACACCAGCAGTCTGAATGGGTTTGAGGGATGCTGGAAACAATCTTTCACTGCTGAAATAAGTGGTTTTCAAGAAATGGAGACAGGCAAGCAGATGATTTGGGCCCTCGCATGAATGACGTGCAAAAACCAGACAGGCCAACTCCATGACTCCCTGGAAGCCAGTCCAGGGACTCTTGTGCTGCCTGCTGATAAATGGTCATAGATTTGGCAGACTGTAGCCTTGGCCATTTCTAATATCCCACCTGTAGGAGGTTATGGAAGAAGGGACAAATGCCCTCCACCCACCTCTCATCTCCAGTGGCTGCAAATGTTAAGAACCTGACTTGTGGGTTCTGTCCCAGGTTGAGGCACATACAGGAGGCAACAAATTAAGGTTTCTCTCACATCCATGTTTCTCTCTGTCTCTCTCTCTCAAATCAATAAAAACATATCCTCAGATGAGGATTTTAAAAAATAATAATAACCAGACAATTGCCAAAGGGCCAAATTGGTCCAGACCTATTCACAGTGAGTGGCCATCCAGTCCTCATCCTCCTCTCGGAGAAAAGGAGGCCCTCAGTTTCACTGACCCAAATGACCTTTAGACTCTGAGGACATGGTGGCTTTCATCCTCTCTCTCTCTGCTGTCAGGCCACTTATAATAAGCTGACACCAAACAGAAACAAGCTGTAGGTGTGGTGGGTACCATTTCTCCATGGATCCCTGCAGGGGTGTGGGGGTCAGAGCCTTTCCAGCAGGCTTCCCGGGACCAGCTCCTACCAGCCCTTCGGGCTCTCCTCCCTCCCCCGCTACACCACCAGCCCAGATGGCGCCCAAGATGGCTTTCTTTTTATCCTCACCCGAAGACATTTTTCCACTTTTTGTTCAGATAGAGTGGGGGGGGGGGGAAGGGAGGGAGAGAGAGAGAGAGAGAAACTTTGATGTGAAAGGGACACATCTAGTGGCTGCCACCTGCACGACCAACCAGGGCTGGAGACAAACTGCAATAGAGGTACACGCCCTTAGCGGGAACCGAACCCGGGTCTCTCCAGACCGCAGGCCGGCGCTCTAACTGCTGAGCCAAACCAGCCAGGGCAAGATGGCTTTCTCTTTATTTGAGTTTTACACAGCCCCCTCTACTGTGGTGACTCCCTCATAATCCTGCCTTTTCCTCCAACTTTCAAATCCTCCGACCTGAAGGTACCTGTGCTGAGGAAAGAATTTCTCCCTTTACAACAGGACAAACTGAGGCAGGAAGCAAGGAAGTGGTTCATCCAAGCTTAGAGTGGGCAAGTAATAGTGTACCTGGAACAATTTAAAAGTATCATCCTAAGCGAAACAAGCCAAACAGGGAAAAACAAGTATCATATGATCTCACTTATTCGTGGAATATAATGAACATAACAGTCTGAGGAATGGGGTAGTCCCAGAGACGTGGACGTGGGGTACAGACTGACAATCCCCAGGAGAGGCGGTGGTGGGGGAGAGATAAACCACAGAACTTATATGCATGTGTGCATGAACAATGGACATGGACAACAAAGCTGGGGACAGGGCAGAGAGGGAGGGGAAGGGGGAATCAGTGGGGGGAAAAGGAGAAACATCTCTAACAAAAATAAATAAATTAAATAAATAAATAAATAAATAAATAAATAAAAGCCAGCTACCATAAATTGAGGGGGTATCGGTGTCAGCTGACATCATTGTCTGGATTTGGCCAGTGGCCACGGTTTGACTGTCAGTCTAGGTTCCAGGGAGAGCTCCACAGAAAAGGCCATAAGACAGGATGATCATGGGGAAAAGACAGGGACTCCGCCATCCCAATCCTTAATCTCAGGATTAAACTGGGGGGCCGCCAACCTGGAGGTCATAGGGATTCATCCCTGAGGTAGGGTGGCATTGGAGGGGGACAGTGGTGATGTAGGAGCCAGGTCTCATTGGAGCCAGAACAGCTGCCTTTGTTGACTGGGGACCAGTAGGGGAGGTAGAGAGGACGTTAGAAACCCAACCAGAGTTGTGGGGGGAATTGCTGTGCTCCCAGCATGGGGTCGGGCAAAGGAGGCAACAACAGCAAAGGTGGTAGTTGGGACAGTCCCTAGGATTAGATGGGAAACTCTGCTCTGCCTGTGAGCATCTCTCATGCCTGGTTATTGATTACCTACAGCTCCCAGAGTGCCAGGGTCTAGGGCTGTGGGAGTCACTCTCTCCCTGGAGTGGAGGAGGGGACAAGCCCATTTCCTCTAACCATTCACTCTGGGGAATACTAGGTAGAAACTACTACTAATAATAAATAAAAGAGCTATAAAACTCAGCTATAAAGAACATTATTGGGACAAGTGGGGAAATTAGAATATGTCCCGCATCGTCGATGATAGTACTGTATTGATGTTAAATTTTTCTAAGTATAATGTTAGGAGAACACCCTTGTTCTTAGAAAGGTATAGGCTAAAGTATTCAGGAGTAAAAGGTCAAAAACTTGTAAAGATTTTTAAAAAGTTGTATACAACTAACTCTCAAATGGCGGGGGGTCGTGTAATATGTTAACATTTGGTAAATCTAGATGAAGAGTATATAGGTTTTTAATGTACTATTTTTTTTGGTAACTTCTGTAGGTTTGAAAATTTCAAAATAAAAAGTTGGGAGGAAAGTTTAAGGGAAAATAATAATTGAATTCCAAAATTCATGTAACTCTTTCATCTGATTTAATCCTCCAACCAACTCCAGAGATTGAAAACATCCTAAATATCCATTAAGAATACTAGGGAACCATAAAAAATAAGGCATCTCTAAGTATGTGGATATGTCACACTTAGAGTCAACAAATGGTAATGTCAAGAGAAAAAAGCAAGAGACACTTTAGTGTTGAAAGGGGGATATAAATACACGTGAATTTATGAATACATGAATCCTTACGCATGCATAAAATATCTTGAAAGGATATACACAAAAACTTACAACAGTAGTTGTGTTTGGGAGGAGTGATCTGGGGGGGCAAGGGACAAGGTGGGAGGAAGACTTTTCACTGTTAGCCCCTCTGTATTATTTGAAATGTATACTATGTACATGATTACCTATTCAAAGCGAGTGAATGTGTGAATGAATGAATCTCCCTTACAAACTCCAGAGGACTTACTTTTGGGTTTCCTTAGGCAATTTCCAGTGTTGAAGGGGACAGCAGAGGCCAGCGTCCCACAGACTGGTGCTGATCTATCCCAATCCCCAGAAGCTATGAATCTATTTGCAAGTTCAGCCCCAAGAGTCCAATTGGCCCATTTGAACTACTTGGCCTCCTGAACTACTGGGACCATCTTTTCAGTGTCTGGGCTCTCAAAACTGTGCATGAGAATCACCTGGGGAGCTTGTTAGCTGGGCAATTTCCCAGCTTTACCTCCAGAGATTAAGATTCAAACCTGAAGTGGAGCCTGGGGATCCTGCACCACCACCTGGACTGAGTCTTTTTAAAGTCCCTTTGGAGAACCTGGCCCTGGTGGAGTTTGCCTCTGTTCATTCCTTTGGGGAAGAAATCTTTTACCCCGTATCCACCTAACCAAAAATTGAGTGTTCCAATCCCCCTGGGGTGTAGAATTATACTGGGGAGCTGAGGGACTGTAAGCCCTTGAAAAACGAGAGCATGCTGAAGACAGTCCTGCAAACCGCCCAACAGGCTGTGTCCTGTTCACCTTTCTGCCTTCCTGGCCGATTCCTTGAAATAAGTAAGACATGCACACATGCACCCACACATACACCAACAAGTTACCCTCTGAGCTGCGGTGACCTTTTTTCCCTCCACTTACAAATCAGAACATTCAGTGGGACAGATTGTTGAAATAAGAACTGCTTCAAACATCTGGGCGTTAAAGGCTTTACAGGTCGCCAGATAAATGCTGGAACCTCCTTTGGTGGTGGTGTGGGGTCTGGTCTTGTGCCCTTCCTGCGAGGGTCCCACGCTTGCTGGAGCAGAGCAGATGCCGGGGCGCCCTCGCTGTCCCTTGTGGCAGCTGGTGCGGCCTCCGCAGGGAGCTCGGGGCCGGGGCCGGAGCCGGGCAGAGCCCCCCGCCCACGGGGCCCCGCCGCCCCAGGGACGAGCCCAGCGGTGCGGGGAGTGGGAGGCTGGGGCCTGCTGAGGTCATTTCCTGTGCCTGCCCGCGGGCCGCCGAGAGCCGGGCGGCGCTCTGCCTTTACGGAGCGGGCGGGAGCGGGCGGGGCGGAGGCAGCGCGGCGGAGCGTTGAATGGGCGCGGGGAGGCGCGGCTCGCCTGGTCTTTGTACCGCCAGCCCGCGGGCACCCTCCAGGCCCCGGCCTCCCCCTGCCCCGCCCACCCCGACCCCTGCTGCCGGGGAACGGAGACCCGGCGGCCGCCGTGGTCGGACGAGAACGGCGCAAGGTCAGCGGCGGACGCGCACGGAGAGCGCCCGGGCTCGGGGTGCGCGGGGGGACGTCCGCGAGCTGCCGGAGGTGAGCGGCGCCGCGCGCCCTCGGGCGGGGATGGCTGGGGGTGCGCGCTGACCCCGAGGGCGCGCGGCTGGGCGGAGAGGAGCAGGTGCCTCCCCACCTGGAACCGAGCTCCCAGCAGCTGGGGGCGCAGGAGCCGCGCGAGTCAGGCTCGGGAACCCGCACCGGGAGGCACGGGGTAGACTTTCTGGGGAAGCCCGGAGTTGGGGACCGGCTCGATCCAGTTGCTCCCGGGAAGGGCCCTCGGAGCGTACTTGCAGGCTTTTCACCGCGTTGCCTGTGCTCTCGCTCCGTTTCATCCCTCCCCCTGCCCTCCCCACCTTATCTCAGATTTTTCTCTTCTGTGATTTCTCGGTGGTTCTCTTAGGGCTCCTAGAGGCAGGTCAGCCGTGCAGAAAAGAAAACAAGTTGAGCGTCAAATGACACCAAGAGCTTTGTGTCCTAGGAGCCTCAGAGGAAACGGTCACTAAGGATCAGGGGCCTTACTGGGGAGTCGCAGAGGCATGAAGACTCTTCTGAGAGTAGAATATGCTCCGTGTTGGATTTCTCCCTGCCAGGACATCTCCACAAGCTTTTACTATGAAGCCACCTCACAGAACTCTTCCATACAGAGCCTTAGTTCCAGCTAAAATTTCTGCTCGAAAGATCATTTTAATAACAGTTCCAATGGAAAAGTCATTGGTTCCTTCCTCAGACTTTCCGGACTGTCTGATATGTGCCAGACACTGTATATGGTAACATCACTTAACACTTTATAAAATATCTGCAGTGATTTTACGAATTATTATCTCCATTTTATGAAAGAGGAAACAGACCCAGAAAAAATTATGATTTGCCCAAGTTCATATAGCTGAAAAGTGGAAGAGGCCAGACACAAACCCAAGCCTCCTAAATCCCAAAGGGCTTGGTCCACTGTCCGGTCACCCTTCCTCTGGTAGGCTTCTGAGGGGGTTCAGCTCAGAGCTGGGTTATAGTGGGTACACCCTGTGCTCCCAAATTCATTAAAACTAACAGCTGAGAAAATGTGGTGCTCCTACCCTCTTCAGGAGTCACCAGCTAAGAGGGAGAAGTATGTACCTCCCACTCTACTCTCCTCCCCCTGAGCTCTTTGTTACTGTTCCCTTCTCTGAGGCTGAGGATCTGTGTGGAATCTGTGCTCCTATGGGTTGCAGAGTGATTTTACACATGCTGATGGTAAGGTGCCAGGATTCCCTCACTCCTGATTCAGGTAACTTCACAGCAGGCTGGCTGCTGAGCCACCATCCTGCATTCCCTGGCCAGCCCAGTGGGGCTGTGTCTCCCTTCTGTCAAAAAGTAATTCAAGCCCTGGCCGGTTTGGCTCGGCGGTTAGAGCGTCGACCTGCGGTCCAGAGAGTCCTGGGTTCGTTTCCTGCTAAGGGCACGTACTTTGGTTGCAGTTTGTCCCCGGCCATGGTTGGTCGTGCGGGTGGCAGCCACTCAATGTGTCGCTTTCACATTGATGTTTCTCTCTCTCTCTGTTCCTCTCTCTCCCTCCCATTCTACCTGAACAAAAAATGGAAAAATGTCCTCCAGTGAGGATAAAAAACAAACAAACAAAAAAAAAACCTAATTCAAGCCCTGACCGGTGTGGCTCAGTTGGTTGGACATTGTCCCTCCCACTGAAAGATTGTCGAATCCCAAATCCAGGTCAGGGCACATGCCTGGGTTGTGGGCTCGATCCCCGGTAGGGGGCACCCATGTGTTCTCTCTCACATAGATGCTTCTCTCCTCCTCTCCATCTCTCTCTAAAACTCAATAAGAATATTTTTTTAAAAACTTATTCAAAACTGCCCCCCTCCATGGAGAAACGGGCACTTTTTGTTGGCTGGAGTATGAATTAGAATAGCCTTAATGGAGGGCAGTTTGGACTGTTGGCCATTTAAAAATGTATTATCACTTAACCCTACAATTCCATTTCTAGGACTTTATCCTTCGGGTATATTCTGACGCATATGAAATGATGTGTACATTCATTTTATATTCATTGCAGCATCGGTTATTTAACAAAAGATTTCAAACAACCCAAATGTCTGTCAATAAGGGACACTTAAATACAGTCATACACTACTTCATGATGGGGATGTATTTTGATAAATGCATTGTGTGGCAATTTTGTCATGTGTGAACATCACAGATTACACTTCCACAAACCTAGCTGGTAAGCCTACTACACACTAGGCTATGTGGTATAGCCTCTTGCTCCTAGGTTATAAGCCTGGACAGCATGTGACTATACAAAACAACATGAGCCCTGGCTGGTTTGGCTCAGCAGTTAGAACATCATCCCACGGACCAATGGACCAATGAGTCTCAGGTTCGATTCCGGTCAAGGGCACATACCTCATTTGTGGTTCATCCCCAGCCCTGGTCATGTCGTGTGGAAGGCAACCAGTCACTGTTCCTCTCTCTCTCTCCTTCTCCCCTTCCCTCTCTCCCTCTCTTCCTCCCACTCTATCTGATGATAAATAGAAAAATATCCTAGGGTAAGGATTAAAAATGAATAATAACAAAACAACATGAGATTCAATCAAGCACAAGACAAAATGATGCAATTAGGAGACTTTAGTAAGTAGAAAGAGAACAGTCTAAAATAACAGTAAAACATACTGTGTAGTAAATACATAAACCGGTACCATAGTTGTTTGTTATTATGAAGTATTACGTACTGTTTATGGTTGTAAGTGCTGTACTTTTCCACGACTGGCAGCACAGGAGTTTGTTTACACCAGCATCACCGCAAACGTGAGTCATACATTGTGCTGTTACATTACACGCTATGATGTTCCTAGGCGATAGGAATTTTTCAGTTCTCTTATCTTTTGGGAACTTTTACATGTGTTTCATCGTTGACTTAAACACTGTTATGTGGCACATGACTGTCAAATCATGTAGTAGCCACACAATAGAATACAATGAAGCTGTGAAAAAGCATAGAGGGAGCCCTGGCGGTTTGGCTCAGCTGTTAGGGGTCCTGCGGGAGGCAACCAGTCAGTGTGTCCCTCTCACGTGGATGTTTCTCTCTCTCCCTCCCTCCCACTCTATCTGAAGATAAGTAGAAAAATATCCTCCAATGAGGATTTTTTAAAAAGCATGGAGGGAAAGCCCGGCCAGTGTGGCTCAGTGGATTGAGCGTCATCCCATGAACTGAGAAGTCCTGGTTCTAATCCCTGCTCAGGGCACATGCCTGGGTTGTGGGCTCTATCTTCAGTAGGGGGTGGGTACAAGAGGCAGCCAATCAGTGTTTCTCTCTCACATCAATGTTTCTCTCTCCCTAAAAAGAAAAAAATCGATAAAAATATATTTTAAAAAAAAGCATGGAGGGAGAGTGGGGCAGATATATATATTGATACAGGAAGATCTCTAAGTTATATTAAGTACAGTTGTTTCATGTGCCACCAGCTGTGTGTGTGCGCAACATATATACGAATGCTTGTCTGTGCACTGTATCTCTGAAAGACACAAAAGCCGTAACAGTGGTTGCCTCTAAGTAGAACTATGGGTGAAGTGCAGGGGTAGGAAAAGAAGCCTTACTTTGTATTGTTTAGTTTTTGATTCAACATTCAGAAATAAAGAGATAAGATCATTTTTTATCTCCGGCTGGTGTGGCTCAGTAGATTGAGCGTCATCCCATGCACCAAGAGGTCACCGGTTCAATTTCCGGTCGGGCATCTGCCCAGGTTTCATGCTTGATCCCCATAGGGGGCGTGCAGGAGGCAGCCGATCAATGTTTCTATCTCTCTCTTCCTTTCCCTTCCTCACTCTCTCTAAAAACACAATTAAAGCATTTAAAATAAATAAATAAATAAAATAAAATCTCCTGACCTCCTCTCTGAGGTGGATCTGATGACACATCTATGGGCCACATCTCCTCGTATGCCCAGGCCACTGTGGGTTTGCCTTTGTTTGTTGATAGCAGTCGTCATTTATTGAGTGCTTACTGTGCACCAGGCTTTAGTACTATCTCCTTTAATCCTCAAAAAGATCCAGCTGAGTGTGGTCTATGAAACTGCCATTTTTGAAAAGTCAAAAAAGTGTTAAATATTGGCAGTTTTATATGGTTCAACCTAATATTATTGCCCTCCTTTGCAAATATTATTGCCCTCAGTTTCAAACTGGAACTGAGGCTCAGAGAAGTTGAGTAAATGGTTTAAGGACACAGGATTTTAGCTCCCAAGCCAGTTTTCAAACCCAGGCCTGTTTAGCGCCAGAAAGCTGGATCTTAGTTACTACACTCGGCTGTTTCTCTTTACTGGCTTTGTTCTCAAGGGGTGCTACCTGGTCGTCCTAGCCCCTTCTTCTGGTATCTAGATCCCTGAAGGCTGAACGTGCTCACCTTTTCCTGTCTCCCCCAACACAGTAAAATGTGATGCTTATGCTCGGCACCCAACAAAGGTCAAATGTGTGTCTCTGGCTTGATCAGATGATGCTCTCAAAGGGAGCTATGCCCGTGTGTCCACTTGCCTCTCCCAGCTCCATCCTCAAAAAAGGGGCACAGAACCCTTCCTCTCCCACATCCTGGGCAGGTGGCCAGGCTAGTTTAGCCGAGCACTTTCAGAAGATGGTGATAGCCCATCACAAGCAAGTGGAAATCACAAAAGGTGCCCACACTCCACAGTGAACCACAGAGAGGTGACACGGGACAGCCCAGAGGAAACTGTACCCAGAACAGAGTCCCCAGTACCCTCTGATGTCCCCAGTACTCTCGGATGCCCCCCTGCAGCAACCTCTGATCTTTCTTTTAGGCTCTTGTATTGATTGGCCCCTTTGCAGAGAAGTTCCAGGATATTCAGACTATAGACCTGAGCCTCGAAAGCCACCAATCTTGATTCATATTTATGGGCCCAACTTTGCACGTAGGAGTCACTTAACAAAAATTGGTTGCATTAAATTTAATTTCAGCATTTTGTCAGTTTCTGGTCAAATTCCTAAACTTGCCAGAGCCATCCCAGGTCGAGTTTGTGTTTCCTCTGATGCAGGCCCAGAGTCTGAGTCACCCAGCAACTCCCTGTGCCCTCTTGTACCACGCAGTCTACCCGCAGCCCCTTCTTCCGAGGCATATCTCTGCCGACCTCTGGGCGGTGTCAGCCCAGGGTGCTGGAAGACTTAGGGAGTTCCTGAGCAGGTATGGCAGTCCTTTGACTCTCACCTGCTAAGCAGTTTAGCATGCTGGGCACTCGCGGGAGTTGGGAAAACTGGGTTTTACAAGAGTGGCCATGAGTTGATGATAATTGTAGCTGGGTGGAGGGTACATGGGGGTTTATTGTACCGTTCTCCCTACTTATTTGTGTTGGAAGCTTTCCAGAATAAAAAAATGTTGAGCTTGGTTTTGTCCCCATCTCATGTCCCTTCTCTCATTTCCCCATCTATTTTTGCGATTATTGTTGTATCTGTGTTAGGCTGGCCTAGTAGCATGGGACTCCACCCCCACTGCTGAAGCATCTTCGTGGAAAGAGGATGTTTTGTCTGTTGGGAGGTCAGGATTCTTGGCCCAGCTGTGATACTACTTAGCTCTGTGTCTCCAAGCAAGTTGCAGAAGTGATGAGTTTTCTCATCTGCTCATTGCCCTGCATCTCAGGGATATTGAGAGGATAAGGAAAGAAAGAACGCCTATGGCAACGCTTTGAAAAGTTAAGAACTGTTCTGTAAATTTATTTCTGCTCATCCTTGTGCATCTTTATGGGAGGTACAAGCGCAAGGTGCCTTAGCAGGTGAGATTCAACTTCTATCTCCCCTTAACATCTCAGGTTTTATAGCCACCGCTCTGACCACCTGCTTCTGTTGAAAGCGCCTCTGGGCCTCATGCTTGGCAGCAGGCATCTTGCTCTAGATCTGTTTCGAAACCTCTCAGCTCTCCTCACAGGCGGAGACAAGCCTAGCCTGACGCCAGCCCTCTGGCCACATCCCCAAGGCAGGGAGAGGATTAGCAGGCACCTGACTGGTTCAAAACCGTGATGCCATGAAGATGCTTGATTGGGGAAAGCACTCCCTTCAGTCCAGGTACATCTCAAGGTCAGGGCTAGGCAGAGGCCAGTGACTTATTTTATTTCCAGAGGTCCTGGACATTTTGATAATTTGGGTTTCCCCTCCTGTGGAACCTGAGCCACAGCTTTGACAATTAATAAGAGGCAATTAAAATCCACCGAATCCTTTCAACACCACAAAACAATTAAATTTCCCCTGCCCCTTGGTTTTACTTGGGGGCACTTTCACTGCTAATTTCTTAGCCCTGGGCTAGGTGCAAGACTTTCAGATCCTAGTTTAGATCTACCACTTTTTAAAATTTTATCTAAGAAAAAGCAAAAACCCCTTAAAAGACAAAGCAAATCAAATGCAAAGCCTCAGGGCCTTCTGGGGGGGGGCGGGGCACAGGGTTCTGTTTTGTCTTCTCAGTTGTGATCTTAACTCAGAAAAAGGTCCTGTTTTGTTTCTGTCTTTTGTCTTCCTGCCGTTCCTGTTGGTCCCAGTCCTCTGAGGTGGGGCTCGCTGGGAGGCCACAATGTCAGGGTTGTTTGGGATGACAGTTCCGGGAGAGCAGGGCTGAGGTCATCCGTCCAGTGTTCTGAGCAACCCAGAACCAAAAGACACCAGACCCATCAGTGGTTTAATTGTTGGGCCTTTCTCTACAAGTTTGTTGACCCTGGTTTTTAAATGAAAAGTCAGGACACATGATAAATGTCTGTGTTTATGGAGTTTATGGTGTCAGAATATTTGAGACCAGAATGCCCTGGAAAATCTGGAATATATCTTAGTGCCAGCGATCTTGAAAGTATAATATATCTTTCTTTTTTTTCCCTTCTTCTTCTTCTTTTGTTAATCCCTGTCCTCTCGATGTGAGAGAGACAAAATGTGCCCCTCGACCGGGAATGGAACCCACGACCCTTTGGTCTTTGGACCGACACCGGTTCTGCAGGCCGACACTATAACCACTGAGCCAAACTGACCAGGGCTTTCTTTCATTCTTAAAAATCCACCCCACTCTTTGTGAAAGCAGAATTATTTCCAGTTTCTGGATGCGTAAAGAGCACAGTGGCTGAGAACAGGGACTTTGGGATGAGAATCCAGCTGTGGAGCTGACTCTGTGGAAGCCAGCTACCTCTCAGCTCCTCGCTGTCCTCATGTGGGTCCATGGACTAGTGCCCACCCCTGCTTCATGGGCTGGGAGGACTGAAGAGGCCACACATGCCTGGCACACAGCAAGCACTCAATAAATGATAGCTATTTGTGGTATGTAATGGGAGAAAGATACTCATAAAAGCCGAATGTGAGGTGGGAAACCACACTGGTGGCTCACCCAGCGAGGACAGGCGCACTGGCGCACCAGGGAAATACTTGGCGACAAAGCAGGAGGTGGCTGGTTTTCTGAGGTCATGTGGCTCCTGTACAAAGGGAAAGGGGGTTCAAAATATAGCAAATTTGCATTATGGAAAATTCCAGGCAAACTCAAAGTCAAGGGATCGCTGTTATTTATCTTTGCATCTCCAGTGTTTGGAACAGTGTCTGGCACATAAATGTTTGTTGAATGGATAAAAATTTGTTACATGGAATTATTGAATGAAAAATGAGTCCTACTTTTCACTTTCGTAGAAATGAGACTAGGTCCTCGTTATGGTTTCTCGGGTTTTGTGAGGTCCCTCTAACTTATGAAAGACTGTGACACACTGAGCTAAGAAAGGGGGCCATGGGACAGAGGGACCCAGGGACAGTGACTACTCACTTCCCTCCCCCTGCGCCCTGTATTCTCTGGCCTCCTTTGATCTCCCCTCCTCCTTTCCCCAAGTAACTTCCTCCCACACTCACGGATCCTTTCCTCTCTCGGTGCTGGTTCTCAGGGATCTCTGGAATATCCAGAAGGTAATCCCATCATGGCTGAACTCAAGGTGGAGACCCGGACCAGCATGGACTGGCAGAAACGCTGCCTGGCCCTGGAAACCCAGCTGTTCCGGTTCCGCCTACAGGCCAGCAAGATAAGGGAGCTGCTTGCGGAGAAGGTGAGTTCCGAGAGCAGGCCACGGTCATGTCCAGCCTCACTGCAGGGGTCAGTGTCCGAGAGGGCCAGAATCAGACTCAGAGAGCTGGGGACTCAGAGAGCTGGGCAGGGCGAACTTTCTTTTTCTGTTTGTTTTATTTTATTTATTAATTTTTAATTGAAATATGTTTGACATAAAACATTGTGTAATTTAAGGTGTTCAACATGTGAATTTGATACATTTACATGTTGTGATATGGTTGCCATCGTAGTGATCATTAGCAGCTCTGTCATGTTATATAATTATTTCTTTTCAGTGGTTGTAATAATTCAATTCTAGTCTCTTAGTAAGTTTGATGATTACAATACAATACTGTGGTCTGTATTCACTATGCTGTGCATTTGATCATTAGGGCTTGCTTACTAATTACAGGAAGGTGAACTTTTATTTTATTTTTTAAATTATTTTTATCCTCACCTGAGGACATTTTTGCATTTATCTTCAGATAGAGCAGGAGGTAGGGAGGAAGGGAGAGAGAGAGAGAGAAACATTGATATGAGAGAGACACATCAACTGGTTGCCACCCACACGACCCCAACCAGGGCAGGGGATGAATCACAACCGATACGCGCCCTTAGCAGGAACCGAACCCGGGACTCTCTGGTCCACGGGCCAATGCTCTAACTGCTGAGCCAATCCGGCCAGGGCTGAACTTCCATTTTATAACTTTATATGTAGACACTATTACAGATGTCTGCCCCCTCCACCCCCACCCCCACTTTGCCCAACTCCACCCAGACCCCTTCCCTCTGGCCATCACCACACAGTTGTCTGTGTTTATGGATTATGCATATATGTTCTTTGGCTAATCTCTTCACCTTCCTTCATTCAGTCCCCCTCTCCCCCCCTCCCCTCTGAAAACTGTCAGTCTGTTCAATGTATCCATGCCTCTGGTTTTATTTTGTTCATCAGTTTATTTTGTTCATTAGATTCCATATGTAAGTGAGATTATATGTTATTTGTCTTTCTCTGGCTGGCTTATTTCACTTAGTGTAATAATCTCCAGGTCCATCCACGCTGTTGCAAAAGGTAAGAGTTCCTTCTTTTTTATGGCTGCGTAGCATTCCATTGTGTAAATGTACCACAGTTTTTTTTCCCACTCATCTACTAATGGGCACTGAGGCTATTTCCAGATCTTGGTTGTTGTAAATAATGCTGCTATGAACATAGGGATGCATATATTCTTTCTGATTCATGTTTCGGGATACTTAGGGTATATTCCCAGAAGGGGGATGGCTGGGTCACAAGGCAGTTCCATCTTTAATTGTTTGAAGAAACTCCATACTGTTTTCCACAGTGGCTGCACCAGTCTGCATTCGCGCCAACAGTGCACTAAAGTTCCCTTTTCTCCACATCCTCACCAGCACTTGTTTGTTGATTTTTTGATAGTAGCCATTCTGGCAGGTGTGATATCTCTTTGTAGGTTGTTTTTTTGTTTTGTTTTTTAGTTAATCCTCACCTGAGGATATTTTTCCATTGATTTTTAGTTAGAGTGGAAAGGAGGGAGAGAGAGAAAGAGAGAAACATTGATGTGAAAGAGACACATCGGTTGGCTGCCTCCCTTACCACCCCGACCAGGGCTGGGATTGAACCTGCAACCCAAGTATGTGCCCTTGACTAGAAATCAAACCCTTGACCCTTTGGTCTGCAGGCCAATGCTTTAATCACTGAGTCAAACTGGCCAGGGCTGTTTTTTTTTTAAATCCTCACCTGAGAATATGTTTTTATTGATTTTTAGAGAGAGAGAAAGAGAGAGAGGACCATCAGTATGAGAGAGGAACATCAGTCAGTTGCCTCCCGTACATGCCCTGACTGGGGATTGAACCCACAATGTAGGTATGTGCTCTGACCAGGAATTGAACCCTCAACCTTTTGGTATATGGGATGATGCTCCAACCAACTGAGCCACCTGGCCAGGGCTCACTGTGGTTTTAATTTGCATCTCTCTGATGATTAGTGATGTTGAGCATTTTTTTCATATGTCTATTGGAAAACTGTCTGTTCAGGGCCTTGAACCATTTTTAATTGGATTGTTTGTCTTCTTGGTGTTGAGTTGTATAAGTTCTTTATATATTTTTTAAATGAACCCCTTATCAGATGTATCACTGGCAAATGTGTTCTCCTATACAGTGAGTTCCCTTTTCATTTTGTTGATAGTTTCATTTGCTGTTCAGAAATGTTTCCTTGCCGTAGGAGATATATCGGCAAAAATATCACTGTGAGAGATAGAGTCTAAGTTGGGGAGGTGAACTTTTTTTTTTTTTTTTTTTAATCCTCACCCGAGGACATTTTTCCATTTTTTTGCACAGAGTGGGAGGGAGAGAACGCAAGAGAGAGAGAGGGGGAAACAACGACGTGAAAGGGACACATCGAATGGCTGCCACCCGCACGACCAACGAGGGCCGGGGACAAACTGCAACCGAGATACATGCCCTTAGCGGGAACCGAACCCGGGTCTCTCCGGACCGCAGGCCGACACTCTAACTGCTGAGCCAAACCAGCCAGGGCGGGAGGTGAACTTTTAATAAGATGCTTTTTACACATGCAAAATGAAACCCACCAAAGGTAGTTTTTTTATTTGAAGACCAAAATCAAAGCAGTTTATTAAGCTGTCATCTGGCATTCTTCCCTGCTCTGCTTCTCGGTAGAGCACACCAAAGAAGTGACACAGATCTTCTTGGTTCTCCATTGCCTCCTGAGGCACATGTGGCTGCAGTGGAGGTTCTGGTGTTCCCGGAACATTTCCCCAGGGTGGGCGAGGAGGGTGTTTAGGAGAAAAGACGACATCTCCACCCTGCTGCTCACCCTCTATTCAGCATAGGAGCGCCTCAAGGCAGTCTGGTTTCCTGGTAATAAGGACACAGGCTTTGGAGCCAAACCTACCTGGCTCAGCCACCTATTAGCTATGGGACCCTGAGCAAGTCCTTCACTTCTAAGGCAGGACACAAATGTCTGCCTTTGGGAGTTATTTTGAGAATTGTACCAGATCACATATATAAAGGTTCTGGCATAGGATAGGTCTTATTGGGTACAATTATTCTCTTTACAGGCTTGAGTGGGCTGGTCTGGGAAAGTGACCACCATTTATAATATTTCTATGGGAAGATACATTCTAAATGGCTGGCTTTTTGGAACATAACCCATCTAAAGAGTAGAGACCTGCGCCCTGGCCAGTTTGGCTCAGCGGTTAGAGCGTCGGCCTGTGGTCCGGAGAGACCCGGGTTCGGTTCCCGCTAAGGGCACGTACTTCGGTTGCAGTTTGTCCCCGGCCCTGGTTGGTCGTGCGGGTGGCAGCCACTCGATGTGTCCCTTCACGTCGATGTTTCTCTCTCTCCTTCCTCTCTCTCCCTCCCACTCTATCTGTACAAAAAATGGAAAAATATCCTCGGGTGAGGATAAAAAAAAAAAAACAAGAGTAGAGACCTGCATTAAATGTATCTATATGTAAACAATGTTAACTGGATCAACCATTCTCTTTATAGTTTTGTTTATAGTACCCATCTGCTTAGCAAACCTTTCTTTTGTAGTACAAAAGTAAAATTCTGTCCACCCTTCTCCAAGTAACGTCAAAGCCTTAATGAGTAAAGCCTGTGGAAATGACCTGCTTTAGGGATAGGCTCACAAGTCCAGGAAGACAAGTTATTGGCATCACCTGTGTTTCCACTGCCGAGGGGAGTGGCCCCGGACTAGCCTGGACTGGAACTCGTGAACCTTGGGTCTGTTGGCATTGCTGCCTCGTTCAGGCTTTGCAGAACAGGTTGGCAGGGTTCCTACGGACGTGGTTCAGGCACTGCAAATAGAACGGGCAGAATCCCTCCACCTGGGGAAGGGAAGCAGGCCTTAGTGATTCTCAAAGGGTGGTCCTGGGATCACCTGTGCCAGAAACCTGGGGTGCTCGTTAAGCATGTGCATTCCTGGGCCCCACCCAGCCCTCCTGATCCAAGTCTCCTGGGGCACTGCTCATAATCTGCATGTTTAACAAGCTCCCAGAAATTGGTTTCAATACTGTAAAGTTCGGGAACCCCGCCTCGGGTTATGGTATTGGAAAAGGTGTGCGAGGGAAGGAAAGGATAAGTAGGGATCAGCCAACATGTCTCAAAGGGAAGAGAACCATTTCTAGGGATATGGACAACATAACCTTAAAAACGGCCACTGTGAACCACCTAGACGTCCTGGCTTCAATATTTAAACTGTCCTTCTCAGTTTAAAGCTATACACTGAAAAAGGAGGAATCATCAGCGGGTAAAATAAAGAGGAAAAACCCGAGTGGTACTCAACCCTGGCAGCTAAGTGGGACAGGGTGTGTGGCTGGTCTCCCTGTGGTCATGAAAGGCTTAAGGGTTGAGTTGTAATGTCTGTGGAGACAGAAATGAGGTCTGGCCCTTTGGAAGCTGGGCCTGACACCGAACCTTCCATGTAGTCAGGACTATTAAAGGGCTTTTATAAAGAAAAGGTAGACAAAGAAAAGAAAGCCCTCCACCAGCACAGGGAGATGACGGGACAGTTTCTCAGTATATACTAAGGCAAGGCTCGGGGTGGGGGTGGGGGGATCATCTGATGGTGATACTGGATTAACATTAGAATGTATACTATCTGTGTGGATTAGGAACCCTAAATTCTGGGCCAGAGATACCCCTGGAAGACCTTATAGGAACAGACACAGAACCTCTCTGGAGAAATAAGACCTCAACCCAGGTCATACAGAATACCCACAGGAAAAATAAAACCCAAAACATAGTGAAGATGAATATATGATCCAAAATGAGTAAATATTGAGAGAATAATCTACAGTGAGTGAGAGTCCAAATATACAACAAACAACTGGAGTAGACCTACACCCACCAAGAACTTTGAATAATAGAACTGTTGGCAAAATACTATAAAATAAACGAGTTCAAAACTAATGAAGACATAATGACGTAATTGAAAACATGAGACAAGAACGAGACACTATCCAAAAG